CATTTGGGTCGGAAAGTTTTGCCTGCGCCAAAAGGTAAGCCCACCGGCCGGGCCGTAAAAAACTCTTTAAGCTCTTCCCGAGGCGCCCATACCTCCCCCTCCACCTGGAAGGCGGAGTAAAAACATAAGGCGGCCACGACAGGGTTTTCCACTTAGGGCTGTGGCAGGGATCAGGTTGCGGCATACGCCGGCCGTCATAACCGAATCAATATGACTGCCAGGAGTCGTCAGGTGCAGCTGGCTCTCGCTCGAGCCAATCAGCTATTAATAGAGCTGAGAATCAGCTTAGACGGCAGACTTATGGCCCAACCGTTCGGGGCTCGGCCCCACACATGCTTGACCCTAAGAAAACGGACAATTTTCTATTTATAATCGTGCTGAAACGGAGACCTGCCCTAAGCCTTCTCCTTTTCTTCGCTCTCCTACCCACTAGTACGGGGATTAGGTATTTGAAAAGTTTTTGACCCAAAAGGATTTGGCATGTGTGTATTTTAGGGGGTAAAAGAAGTCTTTAGCCGGCACTCTATAGACAGAGATATATCTCTGGTCGGATTTTGTTTGGCTGACTTTGTTGCCACTTGCCAACAAAGGCAACCTGTCCCGGAGTCCTGGGTCCTCCAGTCTGTGTCCCTGCCATCGGATTTGCCTATTTGCCTGAATGGCCATTATCGTCATCTCCATCATAGCCAGACCCGGCTTGAGCTCCGGTCTAAGCCCTTAACCCTAGCTCCCCTCTCCTTTCTGTGTTTTTGATCTATGCCACACGACCAGTAACTCACACTGGCACAAAAGTTTTCAGGCGCCACAAACTTTTCGGTGGCTCTGCTTTTGGAAATCGCCGAACCTCCTCCCCACAGTTGTCATGGCAATTCTGAAAGGAGATATTCAATTTGGTTGGCTCCTCGTCTCGTAATAACACTTGCTAAACAGTTTGAAGTTCTTGGGCCACTTTAAATGGCCACAAATTGTTGTCGGGATGCCGATGTTGCAACTAATTTCATTAAATTAACCGAAAAGCCTAGTGCATCAAAATGATCAACTCATTACCCAATTTGTGTGGAACTGGTAATTAAAAGTGTTTTCAAGTTTCTGTTAAAACTTTCGATATACTTTGGCAAACAAAAGCTCAGGAATCCCGGGGGAATAATGGACTTACGGTCCGGCGATCTAAGACCTTGGTTTGCTGAAAATTCAAACAATACGGCCAAAGCTCATCAAGCGCATCAGCCGGTCTTAGCCTGGCCCTGAGCTGACAGCTTTTTTTTCTAGAAGACTGCGGCGGAGGAGGAGTCGAAAAACTGAAGCCGGAACAGAGGCTGTGGCTGCCACCAAATCCAGTTTTGCAGCCGGAGTGGGTGGAGGTTTGGTGGGTGTAGAAATCCGGCGGATTGTTTGGTGTATGCCAGGTAGTAAAATTTACAATTTAAAGTGCATGCATAATGAATGCTGTTTGCAGGCAAAAGACTTGCAGCCCGACCATGACCTCGTCGCATCCCTCTAGACAGTACTCTTAGCCCCATAGCTTGTGGCTGCTCCTCCGGCCATGTAACAGACAAAACGAAAAATTACGTACTATACACAACAAGTCAACTCTAGGCAACTCGCTGCTGGAAAATACTTAATCTGTGCCAAATTTCATGCAATAAAGAGATGCCCTAAAGTACACTTGAAAAACTAAGCATTTTTGTGGTAAACTTAAAAGCTCACGTAGTTTAATAAATTGAAAATACATAATCAAAGAGTACTTCATGCATGAGTATAAAATGTACTATTTAACTTTTCAATAAAGCTTTAATCGTTTAAATTTGGTTTACATAAGATTTTAAGTAAAAATAAATACAGATTTTGAGTCTTCTTTGATTAAAAGTTACTTTTTAATATTTTTAAATAATCCTGATTTATTTCTTTTGAAAAATACCCTTAAAAAGCTAATATCATGGAGAGACTGCCTCAACCCTGACTGAAGCAGCCTTTCTCTGGCCTTTGCTTTGTTTTTCAGTGATTTTTTGGCTTATTTTGCATTAGAAAAGGACTATCTAGCCCGGGAGAAATGTACCACCACCCTGGGCCCTGGATATGTCCTGTGGATGTGTGTGTGTACATATTTGCCCGACTTTGCTTGCCAGTACACACACACTCAAAGATCTACTACGGTTGAAAAATTTGTGCATAATTTTGCTTGGCGAAAATATGCTTTGGTCCTTGAGGAACGTATAAACATGGAAATCGATGACAGGACACATGCCTAGCCCCCTACCCCCAATTCAGAGCTCTTTAAACTCCCTTTGTTTGCGGATTAAGCACCCGGGATACTGCTATTCCCCATCCTCATCTGCATCTTCAATTGAGCCCCAAATGCTGCGTTCTCTAATTTAATTAGGCGCGTGCCACCGCAGGAAGCTGTTTGCAATCAGGCGTCGCATACGAACACCTTTGTGTCCTGGGATCGGGACCGAACTCAGCTCAGCACGATGTTTACATGTGAGCTATATTTTCATTACGTGCTCTGTGCTCAGGGCTCCACGGCAGCCTTGGCCCCCAACCGCACCAGAGGAAGCGACAATTTTTCCATATTTTCCGCAATTTTCCGCGCAATCCTGCGGGTCGCTGTTTCCTTTAATTACAATTTGGCAGTGCCTTTGCGCAATATCGATTGGGGCGAATCTGTTACCTGAATCTGAAACCTGGACCCGGCTTGATTAAGTTTTGGCTTTCATTATTTTAGTGGGCCATTAAAAGTTGCCACCCAACTTGGTGTTGCGTTCAACTTTTCGGGGCTCCAACTTTTGTGATTTTTCCATTCCCCAAACCAGGCGGGGCATGGTTCCTATTTCCATTAGCACACACACATTGACACACTTAGACACACACGTTGGAGCGTTACTGATACCCAAACCGAAGCCCATTAAACACATTCCAAAATTGAAAAGTCATGTTGGAAGTTCTTTCTTACTTTGCTCTGTTTTTGGACAGTTTGCATGATTTGTATTTATCTGGGCGAGTGAAAAGCTCTTATCAGTCCCAGTCGAGAGGAGGGAAGGCGGAAACTTTCAGTTTGATTACTTAAGAATTTGGTCAATGATTTCGAATAAAGCCAAATAGTTGTGCAAAGTTCAAGTGTGAGAGCGCAGCAAGGATTGTTCGATGGTATCTCGCACTCACACCCAGGGCCGTAATAAATTTCAAACTGCTTGAGTGCCACACACGCTCACACACAAGAACACATAAATGAAAGGAACAAGGAACTCTCGCCACCATGATGTCCTGGCCATTATCCTGCATATAAAGTTGTTCATTTCCTTGTTGTTTTTTGGTCATTCCTGCTTTGATTTCGCCCCTGCTCTGGCCGTGTTGAGACCATTGTATTGCATACATAATAAATTTTATGAAACGTAAATTTTTATTGAGACCAATTTTTGTCGCTGCCATAAAAGCGGCGAACATGAAAAGAAATGCTCGTTCCAATCAAAGGCGAATGTTTTATTTATAGGTCCGTTTCAATTTCGAAATTAATTTCGCATTAACTATTTTCTGGTTCCGGAATTAGGAAAGCGACGGCAAACACAAACGACAATATACGAAATGCTCCCCAAAATAAATAACAAATATTGTGAATGCCGCCCTGCCCCCAAAACTGGCTAAAACATTTCAAAATGGTCTGAATTAGCAAAACAGCACAAATGGAGAGCAAATAGAGAGAAAAGACAAAGCCCAAACCCAGGAAGCCTGGAATTTGTTGCTGTAAATGAAAATATTGCAAATCAAACCAGGCGAACTGAAATGCGAATGGCAGGGGGACTTTGAACCGTGCGACCGAAATCAAATGACAAATGCTGGGCCCAGCTGCTGATCTGTGATGGATAAATAAAAGAAATGCCCCCGAAAAAATAGTGTATTGGAAACTAACATTGACGTTGTAGCCCCATTGTTTTCATGCATGCGAAAATGGTCCGGCAATGGTCTGTCAATGGGTGTGTCAACGCTGCGTATACGTAATGTTATGTGAACTTTCAATTTAATTCGTCATTTTGATTAGAAAGGTAAACAGCTATTTAATTAAATTCAAAATAAAAGCTAATTAGCAGGTATTCTTGTTCTTACAAATAAATTATTATGTCAAAATGTGCGTGTATCGGAAAAATGGTAACAATAACCATTTACATTGAAAATCAATTTGTTTCATTAATTGCCTTAAACTCTGTTCTGAGCCCATACGATTAAGCAGATTACACTTGTGAGAAAACAACATGCCGGATGATTTCGAATGCATATACATAATAAGCAGTGATATTTATTGAACCGTTTGTTGCTGCTTTTTCAGCTCATTAAAAATTCAGCATCAATGCTGTAAAATGCTTGAATTGATAATGAAATAATGAATGTATATGCATTTACGTGCCGAACGCTTTAAGCGGCTTTCGGCCAGGTAATTATATTTCAATTATATGGTGACTGACTCAAGAGATCCAGAGTGACCCAGATCTTCACAAAGGATACTGTCGGAACTCTGGAGAGACATTTGAAAGAGAGAACGAACTCATCAGCTCACGGCTCATTAGCACGTTTCAAGGAGCGGGGAGTCCTGCCAGACAACTTGATTGAACTTCAATGAGCTCGAAGATGCTTTCTCCTCCGTAGCTCAAGATTAATGCTAATGTGACAACTTAATCGAAAGCCATTTACAAGTCATGTCAAGTGGAGACGGTAGCCGGAGAAGGAGATGGCTATGGCGATGGAGGCAAAGTCTGGGCCTTAGATCCCCATCTACTTTTTTCATCTGCTCGGCATTATGACAGGGTCCTAAAGTAGGCTGCCTCTTATAGGGGGAGAAAGGACACAGCATGACGACGACAAATCCATAAAAAAGCACGTTAAATATTTGCATTAATTCCGGGGGGTGGCGCCGCCCGATAAGTCTGCCCTGCCCTGTCCTGGAACAGGAAACAGGAGACAGGACGAAACGGGTCGGAATGGGAAGGGGAACTGCTGTTGACACTTACCCGGCAAACATGATGCGACTGCGATGCCGATAAGGAGCAATAGTTGGCCTGTTATCTTCGTGCTGCCAATTCCCATCCTTGTGCTCCTGCTCCTGCTGCTACTGCTCCTTCTACTGCTGCTGGGGCTCCTGTTTTGGCTGCTCATTTTGCCAAAGTCGTTTGGCGCTTATCACTAAATGCGTTACTTTGTCAACGACCCGAGTGGCTCGGGGTGGCGTTAGCTGCTTTTCTTTATTTATTTGATTTTTTTTTTTTGTTATTTTGGACGTTGGGTGGGGCAGACTTTGACTTTTACTGCACGACTCACTTTCAGTGTTTACCGCTCAATTTTGTGTATCAGTCAGTTATGTTTATGACTACGGCAACCGCAACTGCAGCCGACTCCAAACTCGATTCCGGCGTTCTTTTTTTGCATAAACAATAAAAAATATAGCATAACGTAGGCCCGAACTGTCATGACAAAACTCAAATACAAACTGCAAAGTTGTATTTCTCGTATACAAAGTCCCTCAGTACTTGATATTTGATATTTTTGTCTTAGTTTCGGATGTTCAAAATTCGAATTGAATCCAATCGAACCGAATCCGAATCCGAGTCTTTTTTGCAGATATTATTTTTTGTTTCACGCCACGCGGATTTCTGATGGTTTTTTGTTTCTTAATCAAAAATTTACACAATCAAGAAAGGATGCGGCGTTCCGTCAAATGAAAGCACAGTGGAAATTTTCAATCAAAACTTTACTATTTTTTCCCCCCTATACCGCGCCACTTGCTCTATCTCACTCGCGTTTTCTTTCCCTCCCTGTCGCTCCGTGTCTGTAAGCCCGGCTTTTTCTGTTGTTTTTGTTGCTTTTTAGCGCTCGTTAACTTCAGCGTTTTCGTTTTGTGTCTTTGTTTGTTTCGACGGTTTCCGGTTTCTTTTTTTTTTTGTGTCTTTTTACAGCTTTTTGTTTTCTCAATTTTTTCCTCAATTTTTAATGCAATTTCCACGCTTAACTGCACTTTTTGCCATTTTTCTGTTAGTCCTGCTCCTTGTGATGTTGCTGTTTCTGCTTCTGGTCCTGCATTGCATTTATTTACACGAAACAGGAACAGACAGAGGCGAAATATGTACACAATTGGCTCCTCTCGCCCAAATCCTTCGGTGACTGCACAAATTCAAATTACGTTTGTTGCTATTCCCGTTATTGCTAGTGCCTCTCATGCCCTCAAATCAGATCGGAGCGGAGCTCTTCAGTTGCCCATCAAGTGGCTGTGGCCGTTCTCGAGGACACTGGTCTGGTCGCAGGATCTAGGTCTGGACTTTGTCTGGAGAGCAGCCGTTGCATCTTTTTCGCATGAATCTGAAAAGGATCCAAAAGAAGGAGCAGTTAGAATGGTGGATGTGAGCAATTTATTTAGGAAACATATTTAATAATTCAGAACCGAGATGTTGGCTTCTTTTTTTAACTTCCCCAAAATAGAATATGGAGACTTTAATATTAAAACCTAGTAATCCTGCAGGGTATAAAAATAGGTTTTAATTTGATATTTGATGCCGGTCGCAGACTTTTATTAGCCTGTTCGCCAGAGGTCCTTAGCCCATTTCTAAAGAAGTTACCAGGAAGTGATTGCCAGGAGGATAATGTTTCCTCCTGACCCCACGTCCTCCGTTTGACTGACGTGTGTCTAGGCTATGTCCTCACACCATCGAGTCCTTTGTTCCTGGACTGCAGCTATTATTATGCTTTATTTTCCGCTTGACACCTTTGGGCTGCGTTGCGCATTTCCTTTCCGCAGTCACTGTATGAGTGCTCATCCACGTGGCATTTATACGCGACTTTTTCCCATTCGCATGCAGAATTCTCCGGGTTTCTTTTTTACGCCCGCATATCCCGACCTGGCCAGGAGGCGCTCAACGCGCTAAGCCAAGGCTAAAGTGAGTGCCCCCGGCTGACGGTATACTGGGAAAAATACTAATGGAAAAATTATTTTTTAATTTATTTAAAAGGGGGGTGGAAAATCACACCTCATTTTTATAACTTAACTTTATTTTTTTAAAAACTTGGAATAATACTATCTATAAAATGTAAGGGATATGGGTTTACTGTGATATGGTTTTTCTGGGTGTAGATAAGAGTAGAAAAAAGCCAGTGGTGGGCTTTGGGTGGAGGATGCTAGAAGGGTTGTACACTTTCTTATCAACATGCACGTCGACGTCGACGTGAGGCAGAGACGTCATGTCGTCGTCTGAATTGAAATTTATTATTCTGCTTTGTCGTGCGTGTGTGTGGAGCCTCCAAGCGCCCCCTGCTCCAGCTCCGCCACCCTTTTCACGTCGTTTTGTGAGTGCCTGGCACTTTTTTGAGGTGGTCCTGTCTCCTAGCCCTCCCCCTTCTGAAGCATTTAATATTTTTCTTTTCTCCACGCTCTTTTTCATTTTTTTTTTTTTGTTTTTGTGTTTTGCAGCCATCCCCAGTCAGTACTCTCCTGCTTTTACTTTTGTTAATTGCTTTTCATCTGGGGTAAGCTGAGAAAATTTCTGGGGGCCACCTTTGATGTGCGACCTTTCATTGAGTTGGTCTCGGCTGTGCTGTTCTTGTTTTTGCTGCTTTGGGGTCTCGCACTTAGGAATATTGTTCACATGTCTCAATTATCCTTTTGATTTTGTACACATGAAACAACCCCATTCCTTTCGGATGAAGTTTTGCGCTTTTGTTGGTCCAATTTCAAAGTGAAAACTTGGTCAAGAGAGTGGGAAATGCTCGGAATTATTTCTTTACGGGTAAGTTTTTATTAAAATACTTTAAACGGAAACTAACCGGATCCTCACATCTCACTTTCCGCCATTTGATATGGCGGGGTTTAATAAGTAGGCACTAAAATGGGAATAATTTAAACAGTATCATACAGGATAAAAGAGGAATCCTCTCCGGAAAACCAATGGTCACAGCTCTTGTCCAGCTTTTTCTGTCCAGCGGCTGGCGCACCAAAAAAGAATAGGATGAAATTGTATTTAGTTTATTCTCCCGTTTCTGCTGACAGTTGCCGTTTTTGTCGTTCAGCCAGTGAAAAAAGGCGCTGGCACAAAGAAAAGCTGAGTTGGAAATTATGCAAAGATTATGTGCACAGCTTGAGGGGTTGGAGGATCCTGGATACTGGAATCCTGGATACCAAATAGACTGGGCAACTTAACTTGTCGCCGTGGTGAGGTGGATGAGGTCCTGGACCAGGCACAGTATCCAGACCCTGGGATCCTGGGACAAGGCCCAACTTAAGTCGAGTGACATGTAAATCTAGCCTCAGGTTGCGGCCACGGCAGCTGCTGCTGTTCCTGTAAAAGAGTTGCGGGCAAAAAGCGTCGAGATGATGATGATAATGCGGTCGTTCCAGCGCCACACTCAATCCCCCATCCTACAACTCCCACCTCGCCCACCGCCCATTACCGCCAGCCACCATGCCCAGGAGCCACATTTTCCTTCCTGAAAATCAGTTAAATGAGTTTGTTTACATGTTACGCCGCTTTTTGCGTTTTTTTCTCCAACGACTTTCAACTAAGGGCGGCGAAACGAAATAATAACTGTGGGGAACTTTAGAGCGAATCAAAATATACTCTAGAATTTCCCGGAAATTAAATAGAAAGACGCTCAAATATACACAAGCTTCTTAAAATTATACCATGGAAACAGCTCATATAAGTTATTTTTGACTATAGTTTGATTTGGACTTTGGAGATTTCTGTAAGAGTTTACAAAACGAAAATACTCCAAATGTATGCAAAAATGGTAGGCTAGACGCTTGGGACCCCGGCGGACGTCTATAAAGGACCCAGGAAGCGACGCGACATTGTCTGGACGCCGTTTTTCTGCGGAAATGGATGTAGGGGAAAAATCCCCATACAATTTACTTTGGTAACTCGATATATAAAGTCGCAGGCCTAAAAGTATGCAGCATATAATTTGCGTTTGTTTGCCACTGCTGCCGCTTGCTTTATGTAATTTGCATGTAAACATGTGTTTTGTTTACCCGAGAGTGTGTCTCGATGTGTTTCTGTGTGAGTGTGCAAGGACCTGGTGGAAACGGCACATATATATAGAAAAAAAAAAAGGCCGCACTCACACTCGCAGGCTAAACCATGGAGCGTTGAAAAAATTACACCCAACATCAAATGATTTTGTTTAACATATTTTGTTATTAAGTGTGGAAATGTGCATATTTCGCTCCGGCAAGCCAAACCCCTTTTCGGAGTCCTTGGAAGTCCTCCTTGTATTTACCCCTTCCAACTCTCTGCCACGACTCCGAGTTCCTCGCACCATTTACTGTTCGTGCCTGCAGTAAATTTCCGTTTGCCATCTTTCAGGACGAGGCAGCCAGACCTGGCATACTTCACTTGAACTTTGTGTAGCGTGAACTTCTTAAATTATTGGCCTGGCTTTCATACAAACTGCAGCCCGGATCCCACTGCCGCCCACAAAGTTCACTTTCGGCAATAGCCGTTTTCCCCCGGGGGCTGGCGAATTATGTTTTGGCAAGTTCCTTAACTTAGTTTGCGGCCAGATTCGACCTGCTGCCTTTTGACAATTGACAGTTCGATGGCGCGCTAAAGTTTTGCCAATTAGCCCCGCTTGAGCCCCCTTTTCATGTTTCCTTGGGGTGCATATCACGTTGGGCAATTTGTTTACTCCTCTTCCTGGCCAGAATGTTGTTTTTTTTTTTCAGCCAACAACTTGAGTTAGCAGACGCACGCCATAGAAAATCTATAAGCCAGGCACACACAGAGCAGTTGATAGATAAATAGAGAAACGACAGGGCAGTCGGAAATTCACTCACACTTGGCCATAACAATTTCTTTGGACTCGGATCCAGGACTAGAGCCAGATCCAGACGTGGCCGCACTTCCTAATGCCGCTTGCAACGTTTTGATGCAGGCCAATCAACGTGGCAGCAACATTATTGTTGTAAGCGAGAGACGTTCTACTTCCTCCTCTTACAGGAAAAGAAAAAGTCTTAAAATTAAGGGCTTCCCCATAAACTACAAATTGAAAAGCTTAAAAGTAAGGTGATACTGGGAAAATAATATCAAAATCATCACCCAGTAGCATACATAGAGTGGAAACACAAATAAACTCTGCAGTTTCTTGCCCTTTTATGCCGGAATATGTGCAACTCTTACTCCTTAAATTCAAGTTTTGTGGTGAAAACTCATTTACTCTAAATGGATTTTCGTTTTTCCTCCGTGTATAGCTTCTCTTTACGTTTCTTATGGCTTGCAGGGGTAGATGTGCTTATGCCGTTCTGCCCTTTCCATTGCTCCTACAAACGAGCACTTCAATTGCTCTAGCTGCGGCAGTAAATACAAAGTGTTAAATGCCCGGGGCTTAGTGCGGGCATAAGCTAAGCAAATACGAGTGCACGTATATACCCCATATTAAAACTCAAATTCAAACTGCAGTTGCAGTTCCTTTCCCTTTGCTGCCATTCCAATAGCAATCCCATTCCCTTTCGCAATCTAGCTTGAAGTTAAGTCCAAGTCGGCGCGCCCGAACAAAAGGCGTTGTATTCATTTCTTATTTAAAACTACTACTCGTTGGCTGGCTGGATGGATGGCAAGATGGGTAGACTGGATGGGTGGGTCGATGGATGGATGGATACCAGGCCATTAGATCCATGACTTGGCTCCTCCACTTCTGTGGCATGGAGTTTTATTTATTGAACTGTGAATAAATATTTTGCCGGCTAAGGTATAGGAAGCACAGGAGCTTAGCTCCCGAGGAGCTGCGATCATCCGCAACCCATTCAATCGATAGACACCCTCGAGTGCGTGTTGATTTTGCAGTTTGCTGCAAAGAGTATTTACTGTGGTAATGTGTGTGCAGCTGTAACCTAATTCTGTGGCTGGCTTAAATGTTCTTACCGTCTATTGACTTTTTGCGCCTCCTCATTTTCGGCCCCAAAGCCAACTCATCTCATTATGGCTTCGACACATCAAAGGAGGAGTAAAAGTAGGAGAAATGAGTAAACCACCTAGATATCGCAATCCCCAGTCCGTATCCCTGGCCATCTATTTCTTCAGGTCTCTGTGAATGGCACAGCTGCTTTCATTAGAGCCTGGCAAAGAAGGAGGAGCCGGAGCTTGGGGGGCAGGAGCCGAGGCAGGAGCAGGATGAATCGCTCACAAAAGGCTCTTCAGCTTTATCGCTGTAATCAATTGTCTGCATTTGAATAGTTGACAACCGATTTATGGACCATTGAGTGAGCAGCACAGTGAACGCCGATGACTGAAGGCGGAAGAACGAGTGGAAGTGGGGGTCTGAGTGGGAGTGGTTGGGTCCTCCCGAGCAGTTCATTTCTTTTGTACTTGCGG